GACGACATGACGGCACGAAAGAGATACAGAAAATCAATCGATGGACGACAGCCAACTGTATTGAAAGGAAAAGAGAGGCAATACAACCGAAAAGTCCCGAGGCTATCAACCATCCAGAAGCATGCGGTGCAAGATTCTGTGTCCACCAAATACAAATATAAAGTTGTTTAATCTATAATTATTCTTCCATTAAAATGACTAAATTAATTAATTGTGAAATCTGCTAAATATGGAGTCAAACAAGAAGAAGTATGACAGACAACATCTGGCTGAACTGAAAGAATAAAATTAAAGCAGGTACGGAACATAGGGTACCCTATTTACATTGCACCTTTTTCAGGGTTTTAAGTCGCATACAAATTATTTATCAAACAAGTTTCACAAGTCAAAAGGGGAAGGGGTAGGGGGAAAATACCAAGGAATACAAACAATTCTACTCAGCTGGTCTCACATAGCTGATGAGAAGAATATATACAGCAAGTTCCTCTTACTAGAGCTCCAACCAGGAGCCCCATTTTGAGGATTAAAACCCATAATGCAAGCCAATCCTAATATACTGAGTCGTCGATGATCACTTCCATAATTCTAATGCTATTATATAATCTATAATGCTCTCTATCACAGCAACACATTGAGGAACCTCAGCCTCATATATCTCAAAACTGGCAGGAAGTGCCAAGTCTCTGTCTCTGCCTCGGCCCGAGAGCCGCCGCAGCTTTGCGTTTAGCAAATGCTGGGCGGAGCAGCTCTGGAAATTTGTCCAGAAACAGTGACCATTCTTCCTCGTTCATATCACCAAGCTTCACAAAGCTGGCACTGGGAGGAAACTGCTCATTTGCACTCCTGTGCCCCGCAGATGTGTTGGTAATATATCCATATTCTGGTTTTGTGCCCTGGAACTTGTGGTGTTTCTGGCTCTTCTCACCGAGTATGGTATTCTTGAGAGACATTGAAAGCTTTGATACAGGAGGGATCGGTTCATAAGGTGGAAAGGTGGTCGCTTCTCCTTGCTCTTCCCCTCCACTTTCTCCTCCTTCCTCCTCAATGCTTTCCTCCAACTTCGAGAGTGGATTGCGTCCAAGTCCAAACTGGTAATGTGACCAGCCCAAACACTGATCCGCTGCCATACTTGAGTTAAAATCTAATTCTCCATCCTCATAGTCTAAGTCAAACTGGAATTCCTCATTGCCCCAATCGTAAATGGGAGAAGAGAACTCCCTTTCTGCTATAATCTGCCTAGCCTCAAGACATACTAGCTCAAGTTCACTGGGTTCCTCCTCTCCACTACGAAACTCCCTGCTCATCATCTCACCAATTTCAGCAAGAGAGAGACCAGAAGCAGCAGCTTCCTTCAGAAAAATTGTACACAGTACCAAAACCCGAAGACAAGCTTCACGAATCATGGGGAGCTCCATCCTAAGCATCTCACAGTCTCTGATCGGATCAAGATTTTCTATATACTTAAGTTCGTCCTCTGTAAATGGGATTGATGCTTGAGGCCAATGAATCCACTCAAAGTACGGATCCTCCAAAGTTTCAGGCAAACAAAGACCATGATCTATAGGAATCAGCTCCACTTGACCAAAACTTCCAATCCCATCAAGTTTCCGAACTAAGAGGTTCCCAGCATGTCTATCCGTATTAAAAATCCTAATATCTAAAATACCTATACGATGAACGGCAGCGACTGGGAAGCTAGAAGTCCCATGATCACTGGCATCAAAATCATGTGGAATGAATTGTTGGAAAGAAGCAATTTTACTAACAGACTTTTTCTTGTGAGGCTTGTTTCCATTCACCCAGTCATTCACGTTGAAGATTGAGTGAGTGATCTTCACCAAGGCTGTCGGAGGCACATTTGCAAAATGCTCATAGTCAAGAAGGTAGGCCGCAACTTCTCTGAATCCAGTCTCCCCAACGCGCACAGAACGTTTAAACCCAGGTTGTCCAAGAGCTTTACCAACAAAACCTTTTGGATTATTTGGTGCAAAAGGTTCTTCATCAGTTGGCTTCACAATTGCGACACTTTCACCTTTACCATTCCTAAAGTAATAAGCGCCACCAAGGCCACTGTGAACAGGAATTGGATCAATACCCAGCTTAATTGCTTTCACAATCTCTTTGACCAACCGTCTTGTGCCAGCAAAACGATCTGAATGCCCTAATATCTCAATAGGACCACTCTGGTCTCTGAGTCGGAGATCCTTCCCAGTGGGTGAGAGGCATGGAGTAGATGAACTTCTGTGCAAAAGATTTCTTGTGAGAAGGAGAGGAGAATCATTTCGTATGGCACTAAGATCATTCTTTAGTATCACATCCCCAAATGTCAGCGAGCTCTCCTCTGTAGGAATATTGAGGGCAAGCTGCAACCTCCTTTTCACCGTATGAGCATTGTCATTGCGATCCAGTTCCATTCCCAGAACACATCCCGTGTCAGTTTGCACAAAAACTTGTCTCCTTCCAACGGGCTGTTTTTCTTCGATTCCATTTTTCGTGCGGTAATCCCTGCTGAGTGGGCTCTTGAGTGCTGCAACTGCCATTTGTGTTTGAACTGGACTGTCCAACTTCCGTGACATTAAATAATGAACAAAAAGGAGGACGTGTTTGCAGCCAACGTCTGAGATGGATAAGGAAGAGAATGAATTCCCTCCCAAGAAGGCGCCCAGCTCAAAACCGGATGCTGGTTGAAAGAAACCAGAGTCTTTGTCCCCGAATAATCATTAATAGATATAAAAAGTCTCAATCCTCGCCATTGTTCTCAAAGAAACTAAGCTCCGAGACCGAAAGACACCAAAGACAGAAAGATGCAGCCGAATGCTACATCTACAGATCCATTTCGCCCAATTCACAGCACCTGATTATCTGCGGAAATACAACAAAAAAAAAAAATCAAAATAAACACTTGACCAGAAGAAACATCAATATTGATACAAAATTAACTACCATTAGATAAGCTCCAAAAGGAAAAAAAAAGAAGTGAATTTACTAGTCTCAACTTGCAAATAAGAAGCCCCAAACCTAGAGCCCGGCAAGAGATGTCACAAGAGGAAGAATGAATACACGAAGAACCCTTAATGACAATATTTATGGTCTATTTCCATGGGGTAACAAAAATTTCTTGTAAAATCAAAAAATCAATATTTTCAAAAGCTCGCTAGAATGAATTAAACATTCATCAATTAGCTTAGACGTCGTCCTGAGTAAAAGAAACAAAAGGGCGAACAGAACATCAAAATCCCGTTAAATTTTCAAGGCTCCGAGACAAAGATTTCGAAAACAGATTCTCCGAGAGATAGATAGAGAAAGAAGAAGAAGAAGAAGCATATCTCTTCTCTACCCACTTCGTCGGGAAAGGAAACAAATGATCGGAACGAGATCACCATTCGCCCTCAAGAACAAGGCCCAATAGTTAAACGAAATCTGTGAAACGT